AAAACAAAACAAAACAAAACGAAAACAAACTATGTTCTGCAGAAAAATAAACTGAACAACTCTTTCTTTTTTTGTTTTCATTAAAACTACACTATGTTCTTCTGCGAGGATTTAGTCCCTCGGCAGTGTCTGAAAGGCCTCGCCCGTCCTAAGTGAAGGCGGGCCTGCAAATATGTGCCAACGCCTGTTTATAGGCCTATGAGACCAGGCTGAGCGGCCCAAGCAGAGCCTGTTGGAACCCCTATGTGGGCATGGATCTTCGACGATGCCTTGTTACGAGTTAGCTCCTCGGCATGCCCCTGTGGGGCTCTTTCAGCAAGCATGAGCCCGCCCTAAGTGAAGGCGGGCCCCTGAATTTCAATATGGCCTGAATTCGCCAATTTTGGCGAAGTTTGGTGGTCGCCAGACAGTTGCCACACGCCAATTGGTTACATCCTCTGTACTCGTGAGAATCAGAAATAATTTGTGAGCCTTCTAGGCTCTTCCAGCAGCACCGGCGAAGCAGGGAAAACCTCAGGTTTCCTTCAGGTGTCCTCCTGGGTGGTTGGGCAACCCTAACCAATTCGGTCCCAGGCCACTCGCTGTGTGAATGGGCCTGGGCGCAGACATTTTCGCCCAAATGGAAGCTACTGGAAACACACGAGGCCCATCCAGACAGCAAACTGGGCGAGCATTTTCCATAAAGGAAAGAGCTCGCCACTGGTGGGGACATTCGGGCACTGGCTTGTGCAAGCGGTAGCGGTGCTGGAGCGTGCGCTCGCAGGCTGCTTGCTTTGCGCTAGCGGATGCCGGCTGATCAGTTCATCACCAATGCTTGCGAGGTCCTAGCACAAGCAACCTCTGGACAACTAGCTAGGTGGGGGCCTACAACAGTTTCTGCCAATGCCTTCGGACAGGAGGGTACGTGCTCAGCGAGCGCTTCTATCTTCCTGTCTAAATCCGAAGTCCCCATAGAGGCGACTGCAACCTCTAATGGTTGTTCCCTTTTGGGTACCAATTTTCGGGACAAGAAGAAATGATGTGGTCGAGGTCACCACACTTGAAACATTGCCCGACCTTGCGACGATCATCTCATACCTTTTTGTCTATACCCATCTCCAACCAAGGTTTGCCTTCAACTATTCCCGAGTGCTCTGGGTACGGCCGCCAATTCCTACCTCTAACCCCTATGAAGGGAGAGCCTCTACCACCTTGCGATGGACCATAACCCCTACCTCCCGCGTAGTAGCTACCTTCGCCACCACCCCTCTGGGCAGCGGGTCCTCGACCTCCACCTCGTCTTCAGCCTCGGCCTCCTCTACCTCGGCCTCTACCTTGTCGCCCTCCCCCACGGGCTGCAACTGCCGCATAGTCCCCTCCCCGTGCTACTTGGCTATTGTTAACCTCATCCAGACCATAATCTATCTGGTTATATGGCAATGACTCTACACCTCCTTCCTCGAAGGTGACGAGCAAATTATACTTCCCCTTAATACTGTCGGATATGGGCATATCTTTCCATCTCTTGCCGGCCTGTAAGTACTTCCAATAGTGGCAGTAATTTGCCTCTTGGAGAAATCAGTATGGTCCACAACTATCTTACCAAACTTTTCGTAAGTCATCCCCTCCTCTTTGGTACGGGGATATAACTGGGTCTTGAGGGGTTTTGGCAGTGCTCTAGCAAAGTTGTTAAGAATCTGAGCGGGGCTCAGTCTATGATCCGGACATTGCAACAACTCGTCCATGGTGAGTGTTGACGCACTCTTCCACTTGCGGTCACCAAGATTAAGGATGAGGGACTCTGTTCGACGAGCTAAGTTCTTATCTTCGAACCGGTCTTTCAACGCTTTGAAGAAGTCCTCTATCCTAGTTCACTGTGAGTACTGCACCATCGAGGTGCACCCGACCTCTTTCTTTAATGAAATAGCGAAACTTGCTGCGTCTCCTATAGGCACGAACTCGCCATAAGTACGAGGTCCCAATACGGAATCAACTGCACGTTCAGGTAAGTATCCATTGCTGCCTCCCAGTAGAAAATGCTTTCTTCCCTCTTCCAGTGTACATCCAAGGGACCTTAACCTTCATCTTGTCCCTTTGCTCACCTCCCTCAGACTTATCTTCTCCTCCTTTCCTTCCTCCATCCTTCATCGTCATCATCTCCACCATCTCCTCCACCACCGCCGCCTCCTATTACTACGGACGCGATGGTGCTCTGCAATTTCTGAGCGAAGATTCCGTCTGGCTGATGGGCGTAGTCAACTATTCTCTTGTCGACCATGTGGGAGGAGGCACTCAGGTAGTTGTTCCACTTTCCTTGGAACTCCTCCTGACTATCTTTCCAATGAATTTGTGCAGCGCAGCCAGCTCTTGGGTGGCGTGCAGCAGTGTTGTCAATGAGGAGGCCCAAACTCTCCTTAATTGCAACTTATTTCGCTCTTTGTTCTTTCAACACGACCTGGAGCCTTTCCCCTTCCTCATTCAACCTCTTCTTCTGCTCATACTCCTTCCTTTTATGTTGGACCAAACGTTGGTAAATGGTGCTCCTCCTCTCCTCCTCATCTGCTGCAGATGCCAACTTGATGGTGAATGCATCTTTTTCTTGTTCTGTCTCATCTGGCATCTCTGTATGATACCCAAACTTTCCCACCCAGTCTATGTCTTCCACCTGCCGTAATCTTAACTCACCGGCATGGCTGCTCTCTGCCACCTCGTCTCTTTCTGGTCTAGCTCTCCTTTTTTCTAATTCTCTCCTTCTTCTTCTTCCTCCTTTTCTTCTTCCAACTCTTTCTTCAATTCTTCTTCCCTCTTCTTCATCTCCTTTTCAATCTTTTCCTTCTCCTCCTCCATCTTCTTCCCTTCCTGCTCCAATTTTCTTTTATCTCCTCCTCTTTCTTTCTCTTTTTCTCCTCTTTCTCTTTCTTCTTCTGAGCCAATTTTATATCAATTTCAGCTTGCTGCTCTGCTGTGTATGGCTGCGTGGACCCACCAGACCGCATGGTAACACTCATGCCGCAAGTCCGGTGGAACCCCAATGGAAACAGGAAGCGGAGGAGTGGACCCCATAGCACGGACAACGTCAACATTGCAAACATCGGGTAGTCATCCATGGTTACTGAAGGCACAAGTAAGTAGCCTCCACCTCCTCACCACTTAGACTTAACCCTCAACACTTAATCTTTCTTTTCTAAATTGGAGTCTGACTTGTCTATTTCTTCTATCCCCGCAGTGTCACTACAACTACCCTGTCAGGCTGGTGGGAAAACAACAGTTTAAGGTCAGCCAGCAAGGACCTTGGGAATTATTTAACGACGCAGACAGGACGTCGTGCCCACCAGAGTTTGCAGGTTCGCTCTCA